CTTACCTATACTGTATGTGTGCAAATAAAGTAGACCATTCATTTTATTTTGACTGGTATATGAACTGTATGGATAGGCTGAATTTGCCTGAATGGATTTAGATCAGGGGTGTCAAACTCAATTTTGTCACGGGCCACATTGTAGTTACAGCTTCCCTTGGAGGGCCGTTATGAAGGTGAATTTTGTGAAACCACATAAATGTTTAATCACCTCTACATATTACATCCACAGCACACAATAAATTGATGGATAGCTAGTTTTAAAATCAGAACTCAAGAATAATGACTTGTTTAAACATTGTTTGCATGAATGTAATAAGGGGTTTGGTAATGAGAAAATGCTTGCAATATGTTATGGATTACATATGACAATTTGAAATTGTATTTCAGACTTTAGCAAGGATCATGGAACTTGACATGCTTGATTTGCTTTCGCTGGCCACATAAAATGATGTGGCGGGCCAGATCTGGCCCCCGGGCCTTGACTTTGAAACATGTGATTTAGATGGAACACAACAATAATCCAAGAATACCGGAAGCAAAATTAATACAGTTTTACCTTGACGCATGTTTAAATACTTTCATCGACAGGAGGTATAAAATTCATCCAACAATGTGCGGCCGCCAGACGTGTGATAAGGTTGACCTTTTCACCCCTCCTGATCTTTGGCCAGATTAAAATCCCACTTTAGTTTCTAAAGAAGAGTCCAGAGCCCATCCAATTGGCTTTCCTTATTTAGCCCATTGTAGGAGCTTGGACAGCCATGACAGCTTGTGTTCGCTCTCAGCTCGGTAAAAAACAAACATGTAAGGTAGATCATTTGTTTCATTTTCCCAGAATTGCAGTTATAAAGATTTCTCCACTTCTCCCTAAACAGACGTGAACGCAAATGTTGATGATGGTCTATTTGGCACTGAACCTTCCTATTAATTCGATGGAAAGTCATTTTCTGAGAGTACAATTGCAAATATTGACAAGTAAGGACGATAACAAGAACAAGAGGATTTTTATACGAAAGGTTGAGAGGGTGATCGAAAAGGTTTTAGACTAAGATTGGATTTTTGGTGTCTTACCAGCAATGACATGTGGAATGGTGGTGACGTTGAGTTTCTGTTCGGAGCCTTTAAGTCCACTTTTTGGGTCTTGCATCTCAACCACAATGGCCTCCAACTGTAAATGACAGCCACAAAGATTCATACAGTGACAATAAATCAGATCACAACCAGACATATTTCATGAAAGAAAGGAGATCTCTTATTTTGAGGCATGAGTGGAAAAAATTTCACATCTGCTTTCTGGTTTAATACAATGAAGGATATTTTATACTTTATTGACTCATTCACTTTCAAGGTCATTTGTTGTATTCCAGATTAATTGTAATTTTAGAAAATTGTTAAACATAATGAAATTAAAAATTGGCAGTTTTAAGAAAATAAAACACACTTTAAGCACTAAATAAGCACAAATGCAGCTGATAAAATGAATGGTGATTCAACACCCACCTTTTTGAGACAGTGCAGACGTCGGAAATGTTGTACTCGGTCTGGACGGGCTGTTCTGATTGTCATACTTGCCTTTGGTGAAAAAAAAGACTTGCCTTGACAACACTGTGGAAACTTCACCACAGTAAATAAGAATGTTCCCTTGACGTGTATGCATGTAGTAGATGTTAACACACTCGTCCTAAGTGGGGATTGTTAGACAGAAGGGAAGGAAGGATTTAGCCACCAATTAGCTGCAGAAAGCCTCTTCATCCCTCCAGTCTGTCGGAGCAATTCTTTTAAGAGGCGTGTAGTCACAAGAGAAACCTGATATTAAATGGTTTTGTGTTTTTGGTGGCTGTGTGTAAAGATATATGCTACAAAACACTTATCAATGAACATTATCATTAAATTAACCCGTTCAGGGACAGTGGTTACTACAGTGGACAGCTTATCATGTTATCAGGTTACGGGGATCATGAAAGGGTTAAAACCAGTGTTAGCCAAACACAAAAAAGAAGGTTAGAGAGTAGCAGACATATAATACTAAAATGAAAATATCAAAACATAGAAACTTTTGAAACCTTACCAAAAAAAAAAAAAAAATGTGTACAACGGAGAAAGCCAAGTATAGGAACTACAGATGCTCCGATCAATTGGCCACCGATCATGACCAACCGATTTCCATGGAAAATTACATGCATAGTAAAAAAAATTATCATCCGCAGCTCAAAATAAAAATAAAATAATCGCCAGTTGGAGCTTTTATTCATGTTGCTGACATCAGGGTGAAACAGACTATAGCCCTGTTCACACGGCACACATTTGGTCCGACGCTGCACCGAAATATTTTGTTGCGATATCTTTTACACCGGAGCAAATTTTGTGGAGCGGTCACACGTGCAAAGCCGCTGAGCGTGACAGCACCGGCGCAGCGTCGGCGCAGCTCCACTTCCGGTCACACGTGCAGTTTCTGCTGCGGACCAAAACGACAGGAATGCGGAAGTAAAACAGGTTCGGGTCAGGCTTCTCTCTCGCGGACTTTTATTTATTTTTCTTTAATAAATATTATGGCGGACACTATTCTGTCCTTGTTCAGAATAGATCCACTTGTCGGCAGTCCTGGAATAAAGATGTGTTTACAGTCAATCGTGTGTGCTCCTTATGACTGCCACAATATATGTTTTAAAAAATGTACACTAAAACAATGTGCGGATACTAAACTAAGGAATACTTGTTTTAAAACAAAAAATGTGGATAAGACAGAGAATGCGCTGTAATTTAATTGCTAGTCTGGCCTCTTATTCTGTATTTCAGCGTTATTTCGTTGTGCAAATGCATTGATCATGTTCATAAAAATATGTAGATTATTTTAACCGTAAGAAATCTTGTGTTTTTTTCTCCCAAAAATACTCACAAATAAAATATGAAATGTCGGGTTTGCTTCGGGCTCGGGCCTGCAAATCGGGCTCGGCTGACGTCACTGCTTTCTCGATTCTCTTCTTGATCGTGAGCGCTGTCTTCACCGCTTAAATCGCCGACACTTTTACCGGGAACGGGGGTGCACGTCTGTGTCGCTGGCCCCCTCGTCACTGTCGACCGGGGTCGGATTCCGTGCATCTGGTAGTGAGTGTAGCGAGGCCACTCCCCCGCAAGCATGCATTTGCTCTGGAGCAAATTTAACCCAGCTGCATTCACGCGTGCACATTTGTTCCGGCGTAGCGTCGCAAACGAGCATTTGCTCTGGAGCAAATTTTTAAACCACCTCCCTGAGGTGGATCAAATTTGGTCCGGTATAATCTCTTTCGTGGAGCTACGTCGGAGCAAATGTGCACGTGTGAACGCTCGACTGGCTCTGCTTCGGCGCAGCGTCGGACCAAACGTTGCCGCGTGAACGGGGCTAATGTCAAAATTTGGTCAAAATTGGTCATATTTTTCCACAAACCAATACAAATGGGCAGTCCTCATATTGTGTTATTTTTTTACAAATTATTCACTGATATAAAGTCTGGAAAATGACTTGCTCTCTTTGACAATGCAATGTTATTGACTCAACAATTATGAGGGGTTTTTTTTTTCCCTGAAAATTGTTGGTTTTGGAGTTGCAAGAATTACACCAAACATTTCTTTTACTGTAGGTGTGCGTGACATGCTCTGGTATTCCCTCGGAGACATATTCTCATTGTGTTCCCTTGGAAAAATAACATTCAAGATTGTAGCTGATTTGTAGCTAGCCAATCGGTGAATGAGATAGCAGCAGACTATGAGAAAGAAAGCATAGCAACAGATAATAATAGGCACCATTTAGTAAATTAAGCTCAGCCAAAAATTGCTTTTTACAAGTTTATAAGTATGTTGAGAGAGTTTCCGGATATGTGTGCATTTTATTTCATGAAACCTTGATTGTGGATGGTATAATCAACAATAATTTCTCAGTGACAAAGGGGTTTAGGGACATGTAAATGCACACAAGGCAACCCGGTGGTCCAGTGGTTAGTGTGTTGGACTCTGAGTGCAGAGGTTGTGGGTTCGATCCCAGCTCCAGCCTTCAGGTGTGGAGTTTGCATGGGTTTTCGCCGGGTACTCCAGTTTCCCCCCACATTCCAGAAACATGCATGGCAGGCTGATTGGACACTCTGAGTCTAAATTGTCCCGAGGTGTGAGTATGAGCGCGGATGGTTGTTCATCTCGGTGTGGCCTGCAATTAGCTGGCAACCGGTTCAGGGTGTCCCCCACCTACTGCCCAAAGACAGCTGGGATAGGATCCAACACCCCCCCCCCCGACCCTTGTGAAGACAAAGCGGATCAGAAAGTGGATGGATGGATAAATGCACACATATGCTCATCGTGTCACCTCACAGTGAGTTGTTGTGTCATCTGGCCACCACACTAAAATATTTCTGGCTAAGTCCCTGCATGCCAATGATTCACTCCTGGCAGAGCTAAAACTAAATGAGTGACTCATTTTCATGTAGAGAAGTCTGAAAAAAAGCAATCAGTTCCCTAAAGATAGTTGTACCTTTTTGGATTTTACTTGAGGAGGCCAGGTGTCATCACCAAGCCGCTAATTGAGCCACTGATTAACTAGAGCAGTGGTTCTCAACTGTTGTCACGCTGCGACCCGCATCTTCCTATTGTTGCAAAGTTGCAATCCATTTTATAGAAGTTAAGAACAATAAAACTTAAAAAAAATGTTTAAAAATACCCTCTGAAAATAGATGAATGGTATGTTGCATTTTTAAACGCATTTTCAAATTATTGTGACATACCACCAAAACCACACTGCTATGACGTCTTCTTGCCACAGGCTGAGAGCTGCGCTGTATTTCTTGACAGTAGTACAATTTCCTGATGTCTACCCGATGTTGGTGCATCTAAATTATTTTCCGAAAAAAATATGAATACAAATACAAATCATTTTTTACTATGTGTCCAAGACCCACCTAAAATGGGTCCATGACACATTTTTGGGTCGCGACCCACCAGTTGAGAATCATTGAATTCCGGTGCGGTACCTCAATTTTTGTCATATGACTTTATTTTTGTGTATTTTATATGGAAGTAAAAATAGACCCAAGAAGTCCAAAGCCTAAGCGGCAATAAAAATCCTAGTTACACTGAAGCATTGTCATTGAAAGTGGGGATTCCGATAGCTGTGAATGCATCAGTGGCAGCAGCTTCGCTGAGCTCAGTCTTCCTCGTTGTGTGCATCGATGAAGTTGTTTCAAAGATGGCGGACTTCCTGCCGTCCCGCTCTGTTTTATCTGTTTGTTTCCCAAACTGTCTCCTCACTAGCGGAGAGGCAGAGCAGCTGCGGAAATCGAAAGAAATAGATAAGTGTCTTATTCGAGATAAGACGTACGTTAAAAGGCTAGTTAAAATCCTCTTACTTGGAGCAGGCGAGAGCGGCAAGTCTACTTTCCTTAAACAGATGCGCATTATCCATGGGCAGGATTTCGATCAGAGGGCCAAAGAAGAATTCAGAGCCACTATTTATAGCAATGTTATTAAAGGTAAGACTATGACAAACACATTTGATCTCTCCCGAGTTGTTGTTGCTCTGTTTGCCACATGCTGTCGGTGAATTCGCGTGTAAACACTGATGGTGATGGAAGCTATGCTAACTGCGCTTTGAGATGACCGGGGCCACTTTCTGTTCTCTGCTTTTTGCTGCACGGGCGAGCAAGAAACGCCCTTGTTATTTGTGTTCGTCTCCACGGTGGGTTCGGCGGGGGACCAGCCGTGACCTGAGCTCGTGCAATTGACCAGCTCTGGAATAAAAAGCTGTCCTCGATTCGTGTTAAGCGTGTATTGTACGTTACGATGGTGGCGGACACTGACGGTTGTCGTCTGCCTTTCCTTGTGGGAAGATAACGTGACAGCATCATGAATACAATGACGTATATTTACTGAAACGATCGCCACAAGTCGACATGGACGCTACTCTCCAACTGGACTACCGACTTTGAATGGTGTAGCTCATCACGAGGGGTGGCACAAATAATTGGTTCTTAGCTATAGATGGAAACGTTGTAATTCAATTATTGCGTTCGAATAATAATTTAGTAAATAATGTATTGCATACGGAACAAGCAAAAAAAAAAAAAATCAAAAATGCAAAATGTTTCGGATCTAATCACCGATTACCCTCACCCCCACCTCAATATTGCGATGTAATATGCAATTATGTTTTAACAAACAAGCAGTTAATCTTAATCAAACAATAAAATATATATTATACATTACAGGGCGGCCTGCGAGTGGTTCGCGTGTCGACCTCACAGTGCAGAGTTCGTGGGTTCGATCCCGGCTCTGGCCTTCCTGTGTGGAATTTGCATGTTCTCCCCATGCCTGCGTGGGTTTACTCCCGGTACTCCGGTTTCGTCCCACATTCCAAAAACATGCACGGCAGGCTGATTGGCCACTTTAAATTGTCCCTAGGTGTGAGTGGGAGCGTGAATTGTTGTTCGTCTCTGTGTGCCCTGCAATTAACTGGCAACCGGTTCAGAGTGTCCCCCGTCTACCGCCCGAAGACAGCTGGGATAGGCTCCAGCACCCCCCGTGACCTTTATGAGGATAAAAGCGGATTGAAAAATGGATGGATATACATTACAGTGTTGTAGACAAATTTACTAAATAATTTGACATGCAGTCTTAAAAGTATTGCCCAGGACACCACTTTATGACCACACAAAGTGTAGCCTTAACATATAATACTCACCGTATTGTAAATCAATAAGAAATAACACAACCTAAAATGCACCGATAATAATGTGAATACATCTGTAGCTTTACCACTTATTAACTAAATTAAGTTCATCTGCCTTCAGTTTCTTTCATGAAATTGGGTGAAGCAACATCTGGGGCCACATGCGGAGGAATTTCTTCTTTTAATATTTGGTAACCACTGACCACTTTTACAGTGCTTTGCCATTTTCATACCATTTGACCAGAGGATGCTCACTCAGTTCTTTCACAGATATGTATATTTTCAATGTTAGATATTCACCTCAAAGTCCCATGAGATGGAAAACTCATGGAAAATTACACGCACCAAGTACCACTGGGTTTAATTTCAGCATTGACATCACTGCCTGCTCCGTTGTGCTCCCAATGACCAGTCAAATTGCAGCCATTGCAATTAGGAAATCAGGTTTTATCAAATCGGAATTATATACAGTACAATACATCCTGATTTATAGAGCGCTTTATTGGAAATTCAGTTCATTGTGTGCACGCCGCTGCGCCTACATAAGCCATCTAAGCGAATCACTCAATTTTATTGACTTATTTAGTCGACTAATCACCAACAGTAGTCGTTGTTAGTCGACGAACCGGCTCATATATCAATCGTGCCTTATCGCACAGGTAGCAGCTGCTCTTAGAATGAAAATCACTCATTTGTGTTGATGATTTTCCAAATGTAGTCTTTTTATTTCATTTGCTTAATTTGAAATTTAATTCTGAGGCATTGTGTTCTTTTTAACTCAAAGTAAAGGTAACAAGTAATGTTTTTTTTTTTTCAAATACAAATCGAAATTTTGTTGTACAGACGCTCCCCAGGTAACGAACGGGATACGTTCCGAAGGATCGTTCGCTGGCTGAATTCGTACGTAAGTTGCTTCAGTGCTATATTTTGTATGGAATGTATGTTTAAGGCTCATATAAGTATGTTTAAGGCTTATATAAGTGTAATAAAATGAAGTTTAACATACTTTTGGAAGATGTACTCGAAGGCTTAAGGAGATGATGGAGGGGGAGAGAGTTCCGTCTCGAACTTCTTCATGGGGACAAGCGTTTCCTCCTCCTCCTCCTCCTCTCACAGCGCCTCACGTCGGTATTAGCGGCGGAAAGAAGTACTACAGTACTCGGAAAAAGGCGCGCAATACAAAATCTGACTGACAGCATCTCTGTCCGAGAACATTTTTCGACATACCTGTACCCGCAAAAATGTTCGTATGTACCGTTGTTCGCAACGCGAAAGTTCGTAAAGCGGGGAGCGCCTGTATATAACTCATAACATTTACCACAAAGATTGGAGATCGTTTGAATAAGTTCTCTTTAAACAGTCATTTAAACTTTAAATATCATGAACAAAACACTCAACAAGAAATATATTAAGAGCCAGGAAAGCAGTTTTTTTCCATCAGTCATCTGAGCTTTAATGAACTTGAGTTGATAGGTGACTGTTGTGATTTTGGTGCAGCTGTGCCACAGGTTAGTGATCGGGGAATTAAATTGTAAAATGTTTCCATGGTGCAATTAAAGGGAAGTTCGCATCATATTAAGTATGTTTGGTGAAATGCACCCAAACGTTTGGATTCTGTTGCTAATGCAGTCAGCCATGACACTGCTTAACCAACACTGCTTCTGTTTACATACCCGGATGACCCGGATTATCACTACTGCACGTCACAGACAAGGCATGCAGCCAAAGCGGCAAATAAATAAATACATAACTGATGAATCTTCGACTCTTAAATTAACAGTCGGCCAATTTAATCGTTGACGTCATTGTGACTAGTTGACTAATCTTGGCAGCCCTAATGTCGAGACAGACATCAAATTGGTGACACAATTGGTGAGCAACTTCTTCTCATAGCTCTTGTCATGAGCACAATGAGGACATGGTTAAATCTGATATCGGTATCATGCGATGCAAAATTTGCTAGGCTAGAAAATATGCCGAGATTTGTTGAAAACTTGTCTGTTGTGGTGGCTCGTAGGAAGGTGAACCTCACATGCCGGTCATGTCAAATCATGGTGTGAGCATTTGAACGTCTGCAATGTCAGCATGAAAACTTTTGTGAGATTGCTTGATTGCTGTGGATCATTTGTGAATTGTTTTGTGTGTGATAAGTAGGGCTGTGCGATATGGCCCAATTTTATTTATTTTTTTAACCCAAGAGTTTTATTTGGAGGCGTGGTCGACTGGTTAGCGTGTCGACCTCACAGGGCAGAGGTCGTGGTTTGAAACTCGGCTCCGGCCAGCCTGTGTGGAGTTTGCATGTTCTTCCCAGGCCTGCATGGGTTTTCTCCGGGTACTCGGGTGTCCTCCCACATTCCAAAAACTTGCATGGCAGGCTGATTGAACACTCCAAATTGTCCCTAGGTGTGAGTGTGAGCGTGGATGGTTGTTTGTCTCTGTGTGACCTGCGATTGGCTGGCAACCGGTTCAGCGTCAAATTTCACCCCTCTCACATTTTTTCGATTTTTTTTTTTTATAAATCCTACTTCACGGATTTCACTTATCACTGGTTCTTTTTGGAACGTAAGCCCCGCGATAAACGAGGGATTACTGTGTGTGTGTGTGTGTGTGTGTGTGTGTGTGTGTGTGTGTGTGTGTGTGTGTGTGTGTGGGGGGTGTTTTGTGT